CAAGTTGGAAAGGCACTTGGCCAAACAAGATCGTACGCGCGTCCAATTAGGTTAGTTTTCTTTTTGTATCATAGAAACTTGTAACCACTGGTCAACACTCTTATTGCTTATCTTCCTAATCTTGGCCTCCTAGGGTCGCTGGCCTCTGTGGCTCTCACGATATCTCTCTGATCAAGTCACTTGCGTAGTCTGTTTGATCACTTATTTATATTTATCTTTGACGTATCTTGTCCTATCTACCTTGGCTGCATCGACTTATATTGAGATTGACCACTTGTCTTTGGCTGTCTGACTCTTACTACAACTGTTATCCATTATCTTGTCGATCAATCGACCAATCAACTATCTTCTTGTCGATCAATCAACCAATCAACTATCTTGACCTTCCTTCCTCAGCCTCTAGCCCAATTGTCCTGACTTAGCAATCCCATCTATTAAATTGTCCAATTTATTTGATTGCTTCTCTCTGTGTTATCTATCCTTTTTAATGTGTGTAGGTCTCATCGATCAAATGATCAGATGTGACAATGGATCAATAATATAATAAATCAGATGTGACTTGTCATCTCAATCTCAACCCGACAGTCAAATGATTGATTGATTGCGCATTATCTTCTGACACACAAATGCAAATGATTCTTGCAATCACCAACAAATACTGTTTTTTGTGGATTCAACAAACAACAAAGGACTAAGCACTCCGGCAGGTGAGATGCACGGGGGAGGCAGGCAGGCATGGATGATACGGAAACATAATGGTAAAAAAACAAGCACCGAGAAGGTGAGATGCACGCGGGGGAGGCGAGGCCGGGGCCTCAAGCACTAGAAAATAGCTAGGAAATTAATAATCAATCAGTACACCCACATGCTAACAGGAAGGAAGCAGGAATTGACTCTTACCCGATGTCTCCACTACTTTACTTCGTGTGTGATGGTCCGGCGGGGCTTGGCGTGGGTGACGTGATGAAATGGTTGCCCTGTGACGTGATGAAATCGTTTTCCTCAAGGCCATCACAGTATTCATGTAAGCGCGGGACACCTTCCCAAAGCAAGCGGGCCACCCCAGCCAAGAAGCCAAGAGCCTTCAAGTCGTCCTCATCACAGCTTCGGAAGAAGGACCAGTGGGTGATCCCATGGTCCATGAGTCGTTCGCGGGTGCGCATGTCTTCCTTGGGGACTTTGGCAACATCCAAGTAATTCTCCATTGAGATATCATCCATGTCCCTTCGAGGTGGAGCCATAGGAGTTCTGGGGACTTTGGCGTTGATTTGTGGGTTAGATACAACGTCGGCTTGAATATCTGGGAGAAATAATCGTTTGGGGAGCCCGACAATCTCCTGATCGCTGCTTCCAGTGAGGCTGAGGGTAGAATTCTTATTGTATCGCTGATGCTTGGAGACATGTCGGTCGGTGAGAGCCAATGGGTAGTCGGATCCGCTGTCGGAGCTCGACAATTCTTCTGCATCACGTGTCACGGTTGATTCATTACTCTTGGTGGATTGCGAGAGGAGTTCAGTCAATTGAAAAGCAGTAATCGCGCCATTTCCACGAATTTTGGTCAAGCGCCACTCATACTGTGTGGGGAAATGGAAAAAAATGTAAAAGGCCGAAACGGGTCAGCTGATGGTCATCAATCATTAAACAGATACAAGAGACGGAACTAGCTTGCCTTTAAATCTGGGTCATCATCGCGCGGGTCCTTCATGATCAATCGGAATTTGACCTCGGCTGGGTAAGCTGCACGTGCCGCGGCACCAAAGGCCAAGTAGTTGAGTTGCCCTTTGAGTCGAATGCCATGAGGGGATCGGTATTTAGGGTGGTTGCCAATAGATGCAAACCAGCTGATCGTCTTCCCTATGTTGGCGTATTGCATCGCCGGAAGGAGGTAGGCAGTGGAGCGGGATAAGAATATTAAGGCGCCATCTTGGAACTGCTTCCAATCCATTGACTGGAGGTTTGTCTTCCAAGGGGTTGGTACAGATGGGGATGTCACTTTGGTCCATTGGACTATGGGCTCGAGAGGGCCGAGGTTGTGATCATTTTCTAAAAACAACAGGCACTGGATAGTGATAGGTGCCATTTGGCTGGGGGGAGGGGTTATGGTAACTGCTTCGTCTGGTTGAGTTTCTGGAAAAAGGACATAAGCCGCAGGGTTTGGAATGACATCCATGGCACAATAGGTCTTTAAGAACGGACAATAAGATGACTAATAATAACTCTAAAGAGAATTCCAAAGCGGTTAGGTAGTGCTGTTGGATGGGAAGTGGAAGATGCTCAATCACTGGATGAAGAGCCAGCTAAAAGGGCATCAAAAACCGGCGCGGCCTGCCTATGGGTGGCGGCAGGCATGCTCCTAATCCCCTACCCACCCACGACTGACCCCACGACTGCAGCTCATAGCCTTGGGTAATTGGTAGTTAGTAGTGAGTGAGTTGAGTCATGCCAGTTGTCGTGTCGTGACACCACATGCCAGATCATCTGGCTGCGATAGAAGATGATAGGCCGAGAAGTCAGTAGAAAGGCAATTTTGGCAGGGTGGGTGTTCATCTCATTTGTAGAAACCCGTAAAGGGTGATAATGCAGGCTACGCTGCCTACGGAAGTCATTGCCTCCAAGCATGATGCGACCGACTGTATCATATCACATGAAAGGCGAGAAGATGTAGATATTGATATTTCACACAGGCCGGGGCCTGGCATTTTCTAGACATGATGGATTCTTTGACACAAGCTGGGACTGGCATTTCCAAGAAATGATAAGACACTATAATAACTGTGTAGGACATATAGGGGGAGAGTTTCAAGCTGGTAGGAACAAACAACAGGAGGAGAGGAGAGTCTCAACTTGGTAGGAACAAAACAGGTAATAAATTATGAAGGAGGCACCGAGTAACCACAGTGACGGAATTTTTGTAGCAGGCTCGGGAGTGATGACTGAGTCAATAGTCTCACGAATGTCCCACTCC